CCAGGACGATCGGAGCCCTCGACTGCAGCCACTCATTCACCCGGAAGGCAGATTTTTGGCTAGGAAGAGCCGATTTTGGTATCCCTTGGGTAAAACGCCCAAGGAAAGGCAGACCTCTTCTGCCCCCCCCCCCCCCGGCCCCCCGCCCCAGTGCTGACGGGTAGGCAGCCTGGGCGAGACGTGGACAACAGCTCAGGAACCCATACCGCACCGATGGACACCCCAGTCCTACTCTAGCTTGCCCCTATCCCCCGCTGAACACTCAGAGCTGCAGGCCAGCCATCTGCCAGGGGGTTCCCGGCCAGCTGGTGCTGCCCAGGTTCCGCATGCCTCCCTCTCCAAGAGCTAACCACAAGGCTGGCCACGTTTCCAGGAGCCCCCCTGGGACAGGTTGGGCTGGCGGCTCTCACATCTTTGGGCAGCGGCATTCGTTATTCACCGCCTACCTGACCGATCTTGACGACCAGCAGCAGGATCTTATACGCAAGAGGGTGCTTCGAGGATGAAATTTTGGGACTTGTGCTTTGTAGAAGGGAACGTAAAAATCTACAGTGGCCTTGGGAGCACGAAGACGGCGTGAGGTCCAGCCACAGGCAACGCAGCTGGGCAGGAGGTGTCTGCACAGGGTTTCCAGGAGAGGCATCCCTATCTCCCGCAAGCTTCCACACCAGGGACAGCTGGGACATGCCGGCAGAGCAAGTGAGCCACCAGCCAGGTCTCTGCAGGGAATTCACGCCACAGCACAAGGGAACCGAGGCCACTTCTTTGCACCGTGAGATAAGCAGGACTAACCCCCTCCCGGGGGCTCCTGGCTGTGAAAAGTTGCCTGAACCGAAGTATAAACCTGCACCTGGAAGCGGAACGCAAGGGGAGAGGACCAAAGAGCCTGCGCCGAGGACCCGGCTGGGCACGGCCCGGGGACTCGCTGAGCGATCACTCTGCAGCACGCGCGCAGGAAACGATGGGAGACACCCAAAAGTAAACGACAGCGATAGAAAAAAACACAAAGAAGCTGCTTATATGGGGGACTCCTGAGGAAAAAAAAAAAACCAAACCCCGAGAAGCAGCACGTACCACTGGAGGGTGCCAGGCAATGAACAGAGCAGG